TACTAGAGGTCCTAATCAGGCAATATGACAAGAAAAAGAAATCAAAAGTGTAAATATAGAAAAGGTAAAAACAAAATTGTCATTATTTGCATTAATTCATCTTCCTACCTGCAAACTGAGATTATAAAGTTGCTTGGTGGATATAGACATTCAATCCTTACATGTAAATGGCTGTTTTATGGCTCTTTAGGGCACCTAAAGAAACTTCTTAGAGAAGGAAAGAGGTTTGGAAAAGCTACTTCACAAAACTGACTTGTTTTTTTAATCGTCTCCCCTTCAAACTCACTTTAAGTGGAGATCATGGCTTGAGACAGGGAGTTTGGTCTTTTGCAACCGAGGAGAAAAGATATAGCAGGGTGAGGAGATGTGAGCTTAGCCTTGTAGGGTGAACACTGAGAACATTTTTCCATGGAAATATGTTTGCCTAATGGCTAAATTCTGTAGTCTTTCATGTACAGGGCAGGTGAAGTAGTCTGTCGAAGCAGCCTTAGGATCTTGTGTATCCTGTGTAACTTTTCCCCATAGGAATCTGCATTCTTAGTTAAAATGGGGAGAGGAGAAAGAAGAGACAATAAAACTCTTGGAATTTATTTCTAATTTGAGAGTTGCTCATAATTCAAAGGATAGAAGTTACCCTTTGAAGAGATGGGAAGACAAACCTATTTAAATAGGCCTGGGACTCCTCCTCATTTGAAATTTTATCTCCTTGTCTCTACTCCTCTGGTTATATCAATATTGATGTTAAAAGAGTCTTTAGAATCTCTGTCAAGAATTCATCTTTTTAATACTTGGTAACAACAATTACCTTTTACTTTTATATGACTGTCTTTAATCAAAATTGTGTGATATCTTGAAACTGACTTTTAATAGATTCTTTTCATATCACACTCCTCGTCTCTCCTCTCTTCTTTTTCCTGTTCACTAATACTTAAATTTGGGTATTAAAATACCCCCAGTTTGATATTTAAATATTTAGATAACACGAGAAAGGGATCTGATTATAATGTGATCCATAAATAATGTTCCTTCTGAATTTTTTTCCAATTGTTGCAAATGACCATGCTACATAATTTTAAAAAGCCTTTGAAGGAGTCTGAGCATAGTCTTCTGGTCATTTGGAATCCTTTGTATTATTTGAGTGGTCTGGACACTGTGTTTTACTGATAAACTATAGAAGTTATTGAGTGTTTTTATGATGGTATGCATCATTATAATTTTCAAATCCTTACTAAGTAACTGTAATACACACTGTTGCCTAAACTTGAAATAGCAATGTAGGCCCCTCTGGAGAATGGCAAGTGGTAGATACTGGCCAAAGATAGAAAATCATCTTAGACCTTTCAGAAATAACAAGATAGCTTCTCAAAAGAGACGTTGGATCAGACTCATGTCTACTGTCATGCCATCCAAAACTCCAGTAAAATAACACTAAAGAGGTTTTTTTTAAGGTGTAAACCCACAAGGATGGGGAGAACAGTAGGAAAGACAATAGCAGCAAAACTTGGGATGTTGGAAAACAGATGGAGCAGTAAATAACAGAACCCTAGGCTGGCTGTGGAGAAAACCAAGGGCCAACCTTATTTATACCACAGAACCTCCAAAAGGCTGAAAAATTGGCAGCATCAGTATCTGTGGAAATGAGGTTGAAAGGGTCGCTACACTTGGGAAGACTGGTTGAAATCTGTTTAAAGAGAACTCAGATCCCCAGAACCCCCACTCTGCATCCCACAGCTGGGTGATTATTCTTTCCTTACCCTGGCGAATACAGTATTCCCGCCCTATCTGCAAGGAAAACATTCCAAGACTCCTAGTGGATGCCTGAAATGCAGATAGTTCCCAACCCTATATATACCATGTTTTTTCCTATACATACATATTTCAGGTGCAATAGCAAAACTAACATGAATTTCTTGTTCCTTCTTCACAATTTCATAGATAGAAGATTCCTTCTTACTGTAGATCTTAACAACCTCAGCATATGATTTTTTTTCTTTCCTTATTAATCAAGAGCTTCCCCTTTTTCACTTAAAGGAAGATCTTTACAGCTTCTCTTTGGCATATCTGAATTGCCAGCATCACTACTCTTGCACTTTGGGGCCACTATTGAGTAAAATAAGGGTTACTTGACGATAAACACTGCGATACCATGACAGTCAATCTGAAACCAAGAGGGCTACTAAGTGACTAATGGAAGGGTAGTGTATACAGTGTGGATACTCGGGACAAGGGGGTGATTCATGTCTGGGGCAGGACGGAGTGGGACAGTATGAGATTTTATCACACTACTCAGAACTGTGCACAATTTAAGACTTATGAATTGTTTATTTCTGGAATTTTCCATTTAATATTTTTGGACCGCAGTTGGCCGTGGGTAGAAACCACAGAAAATGAAACCGCAGATAAGGGGGACTACTGTACTAGAGGTTTACTGTGGAGAGGGAAATAGAGGCTCTCTGCACTCATGAACCCCAGGCACAGTTGAGGCAGAGGACGGTCCCATAATGAAAATAACCTGGTCAAGTGATGTAAGTGTGCCGAGTGCTGAGACTCCCAGCCCTGGTGTCTCACTCTGCTACCAGAAAGCTAGCAATCAGGCCTTCACTCTTTAGGCAGGAAATCAGAGGATCTTTCTCTGGGGGAATGAAGAGTTCAAGACCAACTTAAATGGCCCAGCCAGATAATCCTCAGTGAAGCTCACAGTCAACAAACTCCACTCACAAGCTGAGAGCTTTCAATCAGCTGTTTAGTCCCACATCTGTAAATGTGAGCAAACAACAAAGAGTTACCAGATAACTGGTGATCCAGTCGGCCTCTCCTGTGAAGGATGGAGACGAAAACAAAGAGGAAAAGGTGACTTGGAGGAATGGAGACTGTACAGGGAAAGTACAGCTTCCAAAAATCCTAATAGTACATGGGAGTTCATTAACTCTTTTCTCTACTTTTGTGAATATTTTAAAATTTCCATTATAGTTTTCATATAGGTAAGATTCTCATGGAAGATATTGCAACAATAATAGCACACTATAAAAAAGAACACTCAGAGAGCTCTTAGAAATTAAAAATATGATAAAAGAAGTAAAAACTCAGTAAAAAGTTTAGAAATTAATTAAGAAATCTCCTAGAAAGGAGAACAAAAAGACAAAGATGGAAAAAAATGAATTCCCACCCTGCATCCTATATCTAGTCAAATTATCAACCAGGTCTGAGGACAGATAAAAGACATTGGCAGCAATGCAAGATTTCAAGTACACTTTCTCAAGAAATTGCTGGAGGATGTGCTCCATCAAAATGTGGAGTAAATACAGAAGGAGAACGGGCCGGCCCTGTGGCTTAGCGGTTAAGTGCGCACGCTGAACCCCGGGTGCGCACCGACGCACTGCTTCTCTGGCCATGCTGAGGCCGCGTCCCACATAAAGCAACTAGAAGGATGTGCAACTATGACATACAACTGTCTACTGGGGCTTGAAATTGAAAGAACATCTGATGTATCGAATGCCCTGAGAGAAGATCTAGACTACAGGTCGATCTGGCCCACTGCCTGTTTTTTAAATAAAATTTTATTTGAACACAACTACACTCTTTTATTTATACATTGTCTATAGCTGCTTTTGCACTATGAAGCAGAGTTGAATAGTTACAACAGAGACCATATAACCTGCCAAGTCTAAATATTTTCTATCTGGCCCTTTAGGAAAAAGTTTGCAGACCCAATCTAGAGAATTGATTCTAAACAATTGGCCAAGAGCTTCTGGTTGAATTAGTTATGTGTACATAGAAAACAGTATAATTGCTCAATTCAGAGAGAACAGAAATTAGACAGGAAAGGGAAAGTAGCCATGAGTCACTACTCGCAGCTTACCTTTGAATATATGTACATGATTATAATCACATAAATGTCTAATATTGTGCTAATTATTAAAATTACCATACAACTGCTTTGGGAAGACGGGAAGGGTGTGCATGTGTGATGTGTGGTGGGAATAGGAGGAGGAAGGAGCTTAATCCTTCCACAGTGGGAAGTCAGTGGACTTGTTTAAGCCCTAACATGTTTAAGCCCTAAACATGAAGAAAAAATATGGCAATAAATATCAAGATAATTGGCTGAAAGAGGTAAAAATCGATTCCTCTGGGGAGGGAGAAACAAAAGGCTGAGGGACAGGGACTGCTGATTTTCATACAAACAAACCTTTTGCAGTCTTTTAAAACTGTGTACCTTTATACCTTTGATAAGAAAAAAGATTAAAGAAAACCCCCCACAAAATAGGAAAACAAAAAAGAAAAGAAACTCTTTTTTGAGGTCAGCAAATACTTAGTACTTACTCATGCTGTCCCTTCTGTTCTCACTTCCAATGGATATATATCACTAACCATCCCAGTCTGTCTCCTACTGAGTCAGGACATGGTCACAGAATCTTCAGAATCCTGTTCCAACAACCACTCCCAATCAGTAAGAGTTGGCCCTGCTCATGAAACCAATATCTCTGATATAATTAGTGAAAAAGCACCAATTTAGGCAGATTCTATCTGGTTCACAAACATTCGCACCAAAAGAACATTGCTAAGATGCATTGTTTGGCCTAGCATTTGACTACTGTGCATGTGTCCTAATGTAGCTGCAAGGTAAAACTTCATCTGTTCTAAATATCCTTCCTACTTAAACCCACAAACATGGTAAGGCATAGTTATTTCTCAATAATTATTCGTAGATGTAGGATCATCTAATAGTATGTTTTTAGTGTCTAGCACTGGACCTAACGTATAATATGCCAGTAAATGTCTGAATGAATAAATAAATGAACTCTGTTGTATAATCAACAACAACAATTTTTAAAAAACCAAGATAACTTGAGAAGCTGAAGAAACCAACCTTTGCTAAAGCGAAAAGGGATTCATTCCCTAGCTTTCTTCAGCTTTTCAGTCACCAAAGCTAAACTGTGGTTCTGAATGATTTTAACTTCTGAGTTAAAGTGGTTTTTGACCTTTTTTCTAACTCTTAATAGGATTTTTCCAGTTAAAGATGTACCCCTGGAGACTGCTGACCTTACCGATTGGCTCTATCAACGTTTTATTGAAAAAGAAGACCTCTTGTCGCATTTTTATGAAACAGGTACACAGTGTCCTATTACGTACATTCCTGAAGTTACTGATAGTTCTAAAGATCTGCTTTAGGGGAGATAACCATCTTTGGATTCTTCAGATACCCTAAAGGAATCAAAGTATTTCCATATTTAAGAATATCAGCCTAGAATTTTCATAAAGAAAAATTTATGTTAAATTCATTCAGGCTCTTACTTCATAAGCCAGTGTTGGAAAGATCAAATGATGAGTAAAATGTTGTACAAATGGATTCAATTCAGGAGAGTACACAGTGTATGGAAGACTGCAATCATGCATATACAGGTGTATGGGCTGTTTTATGAAACAGCAAATCACATTTATGTTTTGGCATTGTGCATACTTGATTGTTGAAATAATACCATCATCTTGCAGTCATTTGAGATCATTTTTAACTGCATTTTTACATGCTTATTCTTTTCTTTACACGTATGGATAAAGTTCACTTTTTAAGGTTCATGGATACAACATTATACTTTTCTCCTTGGGAGAAAAAAGTCTATTTACCCAAACGTCTCTTTTCTATACTTGATATTCTCTACATTCTATGAAAACTATGATGCAGTGAAAAAGACATAGGATGGGAGATGGAGAGAGAAGGAAGAAAGGGAGTTAGGAAAGAACACCAGGCGCTACCAAAGAGCTTTCACAAATAGCTGTGTTGTAGGCCTATTTTCTAGAGCCTGCAATACAAAAAAAAGGTGAAGAGAAAGTTGTCCCAGGTCTGAGGTTGGCCATGGGGTTTTAGATTAACGGAAGGCCCTGTTTTCTTCCCACTTAGATTGTTTTGGTTCAGAATTCAAGTGGATGTTAAATCAGACTGTCAGAGGCCAGATGCTGAGCAAAGGCTGATACCGTTAACTACCGTTAATGCTTTTGTTTTTGTGTTTAGGATTGTTTCACTTTGCCCTCAACAGGATTCCTTCCTCATCTTAACTTTCTGACTCTGGGGCTCTGGAGTAGTGCATATTAATATGACAGGAGTTGGACACTGCAGATGCCTTTAGAATGCCTAGTAAGACTGACTGAACAAGATGCCCCTCTCTGCTGTGTGCATTCCTTGGTCTTACTCGCAAATTTTCTTTAAAGATAAGATAGGATGGATGTATAAGAAGGCATGAGGCGATTAAGAGTCCAACAAGATCTCTCTTCTTTTTCAATCTCAGTCTCTTACTTTGTGATATTTGTCCTAAATTGTAGCGACAATAATAGAAGCCTCTTTTTAAGAAAGCTTTTTGCATAATAGACCTTGAAATTTGAAAGTGCTCGCTGTATGCTTGTAAGAAGCAAATCCTCTCATGAATCAGCTTACCCTATGGGATTATCAGCAAGGACAGAGACTATTTGAAATGCCGAACAGTGTTATCAAGATGACCTTAGGTACTATTGCTCTGAAGTGGTCTAGCTTTCCTTTCCAGAAAAGAATTTGAAGACATTTGTTTACTTTGTGTTTCTCCTTTTTATTATGAAGATATATTTCATAAAGCATATTGCCTTTTGAAAATAATGTCAGTGATTTACAACCACTTTTTTTGTGGCAAAAATATTTAACTTGTAAATGGAGGAATTAGCATAAGTTATGCTGTTTTGAAATTATTTAATATCAATTTCACACATCCGGTGTCCTGGCCACTATGGAAATCTCTAGGGATACAGTGGGAAACAAGACAGCCGGAGTGCCTGCTCTCATGCAGCTCATATTCCAGTGGGAGACAGACAGTAGACAAGTCTGTAGAAAAAAGAAAGATAGATTGGGATCATTACAAATTGTGGAAAGCACCAAGAAGGAAATATTTCAACACAGAGAGGGGAATGACTGACTGGGAGGGGGAGACGGTGGTATCCATACAGTTGACGGGATGCAGTTGAACCTGCTGTTCACTGAGATGGAGGAGAAGCATTCCAGGCAGAGAGAAGAAGGGCAGAGGCTTAGAGGCAGAAAAGGGCTCAGCCGTTTGAAAATTGTGTTTCAAATGAGATCTTTCTTCAAGAGCAATGGGAAGTCACAGAAAATGCTTTAAAGAACAAAAAACAGAAACTCTAGTTAAACTAATATTCAGCTTTTGTTCCAGGAGACCTACCACCACAGTAAAACAAGTTAATATTTCTGTCTTGTCTTTTAGGAGCTTTTCCACCTCTCAAGGGCCATAAGGAAATTGTTTCCAGAGAGATGACCCTCAGCAACATGTGGATATTTCTCATACAGTCTTTTGCATTTTTATCAGGCTATATGTGGTACAACATCATTCAGTATTTTTACCATTGCCTGTTTTAGGAATTGACTTGGACTTGTCAAGGTCACCATAGGAGTTCAGACTTTCATAAGTGTGCATTATTTTAGACATGCAAATCAGAATATTAAAAAAAGCAAAGGAAATTCAATGGATGGATTAATATTTATCCCCTTTGGGATATTTTAAAACTCTACTAAAATGAGGATCAGTAGTATAATGACCTGCTAATATATTTTAAGGACTTTTCATGTTTTAAAAAGATTCGCTCTACCACACATTTATGCAAACATCACATTTGGAGAAGAGGAAATCATAAATTCATCCTAGAAGACTCTCTGAGAGAAATTCTGTTGCCACCAGGTATCCTTGATAATCTAGCTCAAGCTCAGAAAGTTGTCTTCGTTCCTCTTAGCTAGTAGTCTCTATTAGGGCAGGGCTGATGAGCGCCCTCATTTCCACCGACTCCTGCTGTGTTACTAGTAACCTTGAGGGCAGCTGGTTGGCACCTTCAGAAGGACTGTATCCCCGAGGCTTGCAGTGACACTCCAGTCCTCAACAGCTAGGTGAGGTTCAGTGTCAGGCATGCTCTTGGGGGAAGGCAGTGTCCACCGGACGCATCTCAGTACTAGAATGTGTTCTTTAAAAAGGCTAGCTCAGTCCCACACCGTGTTTACATGCGCGAGTGCTTTCCCTTGCGGGAGGGGTCACTTGATTTTTCTTTTGGTATAGAAAACATATCATAGATTGATAATTGTCTTTTACAAAATGCACTTTTATCAGATGTGTATATTACAAAGGATTAGTAATATAGCCTGAAAACAAATGTAAGTGTGATCAGTGAGTGGGATTCTTGAGAGGCTGTCCTGTCTCTGCGTGTGTATCTGCACTGATGCTGTCCAGCCCCACCCCGCACTGGGCGCCACACCGACCTGAGGCCTCCATCTGGAGCTCAGAGGCTTGTTTTTTTTCCATTTTGGCATATTAGCACCGAATGTATTTGGGGATAGTTGAAACAAATTAATGTAAAACATTTAAATGATCAATTTAAGGCAAAACAGGCTTAGGAAAATAAGAGCCAGAGCCAGAGGCAGACACTGACTTAAAACGGTGACAGGTTCCCACAGGGCACCCCCGGAACCTGTGTTCCAGTATCACATCAAGGAGCTGCCTGTGTGAAGGTGGCGTAACCAGGAGATAGACCAGCAAGAAAAGGCTTCCCAGTCTCTTCCAGTTGCTTCTGAAGAGGATAAAGTCAAGTTTCTATTTCTAGAAAACATTTTTTGTTTTTGTTTTTGTCACCACGTTCCTGTGGTTTACCTCATAGGAGAACCAAACTCTTCTCAAAATGCTGGCACTGCCTCAGTCCGTCACCTGCACTCTTGAGGCTGAGACAGAGTATGTTTTTGTTTGAGATTGGAAGACTATTAAGATCCTGGTAAGTCAGTGGTAGTTTTCTGTGATATGAGCATTGTCGATTCCCCTGTTGCCGCTAATCATACAAATGCAAATGACAGTTTTGAGAAGTAGGCCAGAAAATAAAAATAAAGGCTGATGTTTTCATTTTTAAATAAACCAAAAAAACTAAAAAGATGTGAGTTTTCTCCCAGTTATGTGGGAAAGGTAAAGCAACACCAAATAAAAGCCCACAGCAGCTTCATCTTTAGGCTAGCTCAGTGCTGATGTGGAAAAGAATGATGCGTTAGCTGAAATACCTCATTGCAAGTTATAGAGTGCAGGTTAAAGGCAGAGGACACTGTTAATGTGTTTGGTTTTGTAATGGTTGTTATAAGGTGCAATTTTTTCTGAAACCTAAGCATTTCGTTATGTATTTTATGGTGACAGTGAGTCGGTGAAACCGATCTCAGTTTAGAGGTATGGATGATGATAGGAGGCCAAATAGAAGCTTAAAGATGCTTCTGTTTGAGGCCCAGCAGACACTGCTGGATTACAGGATGAATTGAAATTGTTCATTTGAGAGATTATTCAGCCATCTGGGGGATAAGTTGTTCACTGTCAGGTATGGTGTGCACAGTCCTAGCTAACAGACCTTTTCCTCATTGCTGAAGCAAGCCGGAGGTAGAGTGGCCAGTTCTCCTATCAGAAAAAAGAGAAACGTATACATGCATACATAAATGTAGTTTAGGGCCGCTTTCTCCATCACTGTGCTCCAAAGGAACATATGTTGTTTAATATACCATACACGTGAGGCAAACTATTCTGTAAGATGCTTTACTTTTCAAGCGCAGAGGCATTTCAACAGTCTCTAGAGTGACAAATACCAATAGATGTGAGTTAATTTTTGAAAATTGATCTGTGAGTTGTAAATAGATGTGTATTTGATCTGCCCTATCCCTCTTTGATTCTTTATCAACATGTTCTCTCTCTTCTGTTTGCAAAATACCTTTGTTTGAGAGCATTGACAGTGCTTTCTTTATCGGTAACTGGAGTTCTCCTGCCTGCACTAGGAAATGTCAAGAGAGAATCAGTGTTCTTATATGGCAATCAGGGAAGCAGCAATGTGCCACTGTACAGAACTGAATAAAAATTCCTAATTTGTACTTTCTTTGCAAAGTGAGATGAAAGGAGTTTTAAAGAATATTTTGTCAAGGGGAAAGAAAATAAAACTGTGCCAGTTTTATACCAGTAGCTTGTGGAATCTCAGCACTTCTTGGTCTCAGCTGATCTGCCTAGATTCCCACAGCAGAGAGGGTTGAGAGGTCCCTGCTTGACCCTGGTCTCAGCGAGTCACAGTGATGGAGCATCTGCTTGGCCATGGGTAGGTGCAGCGACTACAGAAGTGACCACCCCAGCAGTTCACTCTTAACTTCAGAAACTGTTGTTGGTGTCAAAATATACAGATATTGTGGAGAAGCCTCTATGCCAATGGAAGGTAAAGAAAGAAAAATGACAGAATGGAAAATGATGTTTTGGGTGGGCAAACAAATTAGTTGACTCTAAATAGTAGATTTTTTAAAAAAAACTATAGCTGTAAGTTCAGAGCTGTCATATTAAGAGTTTTTAATATTACAACCAACCCTTAATTTTCTACAGTAAAGGAACTAGAGATTACTGGATAATTAATCCAGTAATAAGTCATAGTAAGCCAAAAATCTAATTGTATTTAGGAATTTGAATTTTTATTCTCATCAAACTTTTTTTCTTCTTCTAGGGATGCTTACTAATTAAAAAAAATGATTTGAGTTGTTTATTAGTTTCTCTTGCCTATATATATTTATGACTGTGTTAACGAGTAGTGAAAAGCTTTGGAAAGACAGACAGCTTCAGGAAGAGGAAACACAGAAGCCTAAATGATCCATGGGCTTATTTAAAAAGGAATAAACCCTGAATAATCCAGAGTTGGTGGTATTGCAGTTGTTCTCAAGCCTTTTTGTGAAAAGAAAACGTTAAATCACCAAATGCAAACCTCAGAACGTCACTATAGTGTTGATACCGTTTGGACTGATGTTAAGAAGGCCTCTCCATTCTTTTCTCATGTCACTCACTTTGCGTGGATTTGTCTAGTAACGTTCTTTTGACAATCACTTCCCTAAAGACTCTTCGGAACTAGTGGGACCTGGTTATCATCATAGAAAGTAGTCTTTAATCATGGATAGTCTTATCAGATTCTTTTTCTATTTAAGAAAATTGTATTTGCACTGCTGAGTAGGAAGAGTTAGTTCTTTTCTTCATGACATAGGACTTCACTCCAGAGTTACCATTACAAGCATGTCAGCTCTGGTCCATGAAGGATGGATGAAAATGGTTCATCTTATTTTTTGCCACGTAGTGCTGTGAACCTTACATCTGTTCACATGCAAGGCAAGGTCAGAAGCAGCACTGGGCAGCAGGTGTGCTGGTTCGTTTTATGAGGGAGTAGATAGAGGCTAACATGTTTGGGACCAAAACTACCTAAAGTGGACATTTCTAGATCACAGTGGGGCCGAGTGTTCTCTGGAGCAGTAGCAGTGACTACTGGTTGGTGCTCTATTGTAATCATTTTGCATTGATCCCCAACAATTAGGAACTGGACCCTGGGAATAAGCTGAGGGTGCTGAACTGTTGGGGGAGGGTGACTCTAGCCATATGGAAGATAAAATATGGTTTTTTCTGCAAAATTCCCATTTGAGGATTTTTACATTTAATATTTTTTTAAAACAGTTGAAAGAGCAAAAAAAATTTCTAAGTGTATTCTAGTTGCAAAGTATGCACACGTATTTTGAATGGCTTTATTTTTATTGTGTAAAACTGTTGAACACATGACTGTGATGCACAAATTCTTTACATGTAAGGAGTCTATGCATTTTACAGTAACTAGTGTCACGGTTGGGTAATGAACCAGTTATACGTGGAACTGCCATTGTCGTATTAAGTGCTTTCGTTTTCTTTATAGTTATTACAAAGTTGTATTTATTTTATGCAGATGGATTTTCGTTTTCCTGATGCCATAATGTTTATTCAGCTTGTTGGCCTGTCTTTCTTTCTCTGTGTATCTGCATGTTGTAATGTATGATGAGAATGAATGTAAAGGCTGTGGCAACTGTCATTAATTTTTGTAAAGGGCTGGTCACATGTGGATCTGGTTTATGAATGCATTTGGGATTATTTTAGTAACCAGATCACCTTTTCAGAAATCTAGATGTGAACACCAAAAGGAGCATTTTCTCGACAAAAATTAATAGCTGGTTCTATTTTTTTTTAACCTAGAAAAAAATAAAGTTGATTTTTTTCAAGTAAAGTGCTTTTAATTCTTAATAGTGGGGAGGGGTGTTTGTGTTTTACTGGAGATGTTTGGGCATTAACATCTGTGAGTGTGTACTTAGAGCACACCATGGCAGTTGGATGCTGAGGGCAAACTGAAAAACCAAATGAAAAAACATTTTGAATTTCCTTCTTTGGTTTTAACCACCCCCCCACCCATTCTTCCCATCCAGTGGTATACTGGTAGTTGTTTAACAGTCTGCCCTCTTGGAAAAAAATTATGTATGCAAGTGTACATAAATTTGTTATAAATTTTGCTAATAGCAAGGATATATAACACAATTAACAAATAATAATAAAATATGCTTTCTTGTAAATTCTATATAGCCAATTGATTCTCCCACAATGTTTTAATAGATTTTTGCTGAACTCTTG